CTGCGGGGCCGCAGCTGCAGATGCCCCCCCGGGCCTTGCAGATAGGTAGCGAAGATGAGGGGGAGGGGGAAGGGGAGGGGGGGGGGGGGGGGGAGGAGGAGGAGCGCAGAGGGGGAGGAGGAGGAGGAGCAGCGAGGAGGAGAGGAGCGAAGGAGGAGGAGGAGGAGGAACGGAGGGAGAAGAGGAGAAACAGAGAGGAGGAGGAGGAGGAGGAGGAGGGAGGAGGAGGATTTTTTTTTTGGACCGTGCAGGAGGGGGGGGCAGAAGCAGCAGAGGAACAGCGAAGGAGGAGAGAAAGGACAGGGTACGTGACGCCCGCGCGCTGCGAGAGGCCGATCTTCGGCGACCCGCGGGGGGTGCCGCGGTACCTCGCGCGCGGGGCGGGACGGGGCAGCCCCGCCCGCCACCGATCCTCCCGCACGAGAGTCCTCGGCAGCGGGGGGGCGCACTCGGCGACGGGGGAGGACAGAGTCCATGCCCCGCAAGCCGCGGGCGCTTGCGACCCAGGCCACCGTCGCCTCGACCCACGACCCAGGCCCGAGCACACACCTAGACAAAATCGAGAGGCGGGCACTCTTCCTCCCAGAGAGGCGCAACGGGCACAGTTGAACAGGTCGTCGACGGGGCGGGCGGCGGGGGCGGCAGGGAGCGGCGGGGCGGGTGCACGCGCGCCCCCGCGCGCGCTCCCCCAGCCAGGCGGGGGCCCAACCCCAGCAGCAGCAGCGCGCGCACAGCGGGGCACAAGCAGCGAGGAGAACCGAGGGGGCGGGCCGGAAGAAAAGCAGGGGAAAGAGGGGAAGGCAGGGGCGGGAGAATACGAGGACCCAACAACGCCCACCCCGCAGGGGAGAGGCAGCGGCAGAGGCAGGGAGACGGAAGACAGCAAGCGACAGGAGAGGCAAAGGAATACAACAAAGGAGCACTAGAGCAAACGCGCGAGAGATGAAAGGGAGCGGTCACACTCAGACGACATCACTTCACGTGGCAGCCCGCCCAATACGCCGTGCCCTGAACTGTCGCGCGACACCAGTATACCGACGAGCTAGAAGACGCAATCGAGCAGCGAAGACCTGGTGCGAGGGGACCTGAGTCTGGCGCCGATGATGAGCATGTGTCTTCAGAAAGGCATCGCGGAAGGCAGCGCAGGCAACGTCGCGGTCGAGCCCCCAGGAAGGCCCCATCAGACAGAGACATGTAAGCCATGTATCTCGGTGCTGCCACATCTCCCTCCACGGCGTGGGTAATGCTTCCAACCCTGGGAGACGGTGCAGTGCAAGGTCACGGAAATGATCGCAGATTTTGTAGTGGAGTAGGTCATCAGGGGCCACACACCCAAAACAGCACCCACGGTCATTCGCATGAGAACGTGCCGAAGTACACACGCCCCTGGACAGTGCGCGGAGAACGTTGGTAGCGATATGAGTGCACGTGGCACGCTCCACTGCGCGCAGTCTAGTCCGCAGACGGAACAGATCCTCGAGGGAGGCTGCAACTAACCACCGCGATACCCGCACACCCAGACACAATCATGGAGTGGCAGTCATACGAACCGAACGTAAATGCCGATGGACCTTGGCCTGGATATAACGGGCAGTTCGATCAATGGGGGGGTTCACGAGGTCCGCCGCATCCTCATTCGTAGTGCGTATCATCGAATGGCACCACCGTCCAGCAAACATACGAGCAGGAATACATTCATCATCAGTCAAGCCACTCGCTAAGCCCTCTAACTCATATAGTGCATAGTCTAATGCCTTGCACCGCATCACCACCCGAAATTTCGTAGCTTTATCATACAGTCCCAGGTCCACGAACTCAAGAGAGATCCCCAGGTCACGTAACTGAGTGAGCATAGTGTAGTTCAACGCATGCCGAGGCCCCGCGGTAAGGATCTGCAAAGCTTCCCTATACTGACGCCGAACCAAAGGGGTGACCCTCACCAACTGAATCCGATACTGCAAGACGGGGATGCAATTAGAGTGGAACAGACGGATAGTGGTCGCCAAGCCCAGCGAGAGAGAGCGAAGAAGACGAACTCGCTGCCAGAACTTATTCATCGTTTCCACCCAGGCCACCTCATGGGCCGACGGGCCCACCCAGAATCCGAGGTGCAAAACTCTGGTGGCGAAACGGACCGAGGCGAAACGGCTGCCTTTCCGAGCCATGTGGGCATCGAGGGCATCTCCATCCAGCGCCCCGCAGATCAGGACGTAACATTTCCCCACATTCAAAGAGAGACCAATCGCGGACGAGAACAAGTCGAGAAGCAGCAAGGTGGGCATGAGATCGATGAGAATGCCACGTAGTCCAAAACAACAGTCATCAGCGTACGCCAATTGGACACCCGCACGTTCGACACGGCGGGCACGGGTCCAGCGAAGTACAGGGTCCAGGGCCAGAGCAAAGAGGGTCATTGACGCAGGATCACCCTGCCGTACACCTCGTTCCACAGGGAAAACCGTTTCGGCTGCGCCCTCAAAACAGACCAGGGCCGTATTGTTGGCATACAGGGCTCTGAAGAAACCCACAGTCTCGCTGGGGGCCCCCATGGCCACCACAACGGCAAAACTCCACTCGGCCAGGATCGAAGGGAACGCCGCCTTGAAATCGGTGAACAAGACCCCCGCTTTATCCCTCCCATACATGTGTTGGATAAGGCCCCATTTTCCACTTCAACAACATGGTCCAGCATGCAACGCCCTCGAACCCCACCACGCTGGGTGACATCCACCGTCGCAGGAGCGACGTCATGGAGTCCAAGACAGAAGGCGTCGGAGAGGATCTTCGCATCCGCATTCGCGAGGGAGGGCGGGCGGGTGGAGGCGCGCGCACGTGAGACAAAGTCACTGCGATCACGGGGGCCACTGCCCTTCGGGAGGAAAACCATGCGGCTGGCCCGACATTCAGGGGGGAGAGCATCTCCTGCACGGTTGAAAACCTCCTCGTAAACCTCGAACAAAGCAGCGGTCGCCTCGGGGGCCTTCCAGCATCCATGCGGGATCCCATCAGGGCCAGGAGCAAGATTGAAGTTATGGCCGACACGGCCCCGAAATTCGCCAACGTCAAGTTTCCATCGCGGGGCAAGAGCACAGTCGCCAGTAGTCTGAACGTGGGCCAACATTTCTTGCCAATGAGTCGGGTCGTGATCAGCCCGTGCAAAGACCTTACTCCAATGGGCCACCAGTGCCGCAGAAGCCGCTTCTGGGGAGGCACGCGGGGCCCCGTCCTCGCCCAAGACGCCTAGCAGCCCAGCCCTCCTCCTCATGAGATCCCACCCACGCCTAAGGGCCACCAGCCCCCGTCTCCTTGGTCCTAACCTCCTCCACCTGGTTGCTATGATCCAACTCCTCCAGCTCCGCATCAAACCGACGTCCCTTCAAGGTCAGTACCAAACTGTGGAGGCCATCAGGATCAGTGCACACGCCGCCGTCGACGTCGAAGAAAGGCAGGAGAGACGCGCAGCAACGAATGGCACGAAGGCAGAGATGCCACTGCCGACCCCGCCATCCACGGTACGCCATGAAAGCAAAATGGAGCCGCTCCGTCCGCTGAACGACACTTAAGGGACTTCTTAAATTCCACAGCAGCCGCGCCGAACATTTCTTTCACCCTTGCGAGTTTCTGGGCAGGGTCCGAAGGGGGCGTCAGCTCCCGCAGCTGTTCGGAAACCACCATGTGGTAGTCGGCATGATGGCTGATCCATTTCGGAGCCGAGAACCGACCCCTCGGGGTCGGGATGGGAAACCGTGGCAGCGGCGGGGATGTGATCGGAGGAGGCCCCTGGATGCATGAGGGCGCCGACAGCGTTGACAACAGCGGTCATCTCATTGAGAATACCTGCAGGAAGGGTCGTGTAAATCCGATCTAATCTGGCCAATCCCCTCAGTTCCCGATTCACAATATCCCTTCGGGTCGGGTCAGGCTGGTATAATTCACACCAGCGGCTACAATGTTCCTGAGAAGCATGACATTGCATGCGGTCCCCAGGCCCAATCTCCCCTGAGACAAGGGACCTCCCATCCTCCACCGTACAGAAATTCCAGTCTCCCAGAATGACAACCATAGAATGCGCTGCCGCCGGAAGGGCGGCCTTGATGAGGCGTAAGTACTGATGATAGATATGAACGTCGTCGCACGTGTTAGGCATATGAATATTGGCCACGACCAAGTCGCCTCGAGGTCCCCGACCATGGACCAGTAACACCCGCCCAGGAACGACCGTAATCGGAGCGATCGAGTCGAAGCAGTCACATAGATCCGAAGACAGGAACGTCACCACCCCACCCGCGTTCCGACCATCCAGAAAGCTCTCAAAAAATTGCCCAGTCCGCATTTCGTCCCGAAAGATAACCAAGTCTGCTTCAGATCCGCGCGTCTCCTGTAAACACATGACCTGATACTGTAAGAGCAGCTGCTTAGCCCGAACGAAGCGAGAACGTGACCGAGATGAACGAGACGAGAGAGAGGCAAAGAGCGCGCGCGTGTTCCAACTGCAGAGGGACAGAGGACGGGCAGGGCGGTAGACACCACCAGCTTCCCCAGCAGGCGGCGAGAAGGATAAAGCACTGTCACTTGCATGGTGTACATCAAAATTGGCAGGGAGGGCGGGCGAGCACTCAGTAGCCGCACACACTGGACTTCTCCCCACCGCACACTCACCTGTCGAACTGTTCCGATACTCACCGAAAGGGGCGAATCTCTGCGAACCTGGCGCGCAGACGCTGTGCATGTTGCTGCCCTCCCACTTCCGCCAACCCATCGATCTCGACGCCACGCTGAGCGGTGCCCGCGGTGAGGCCATCATCGACAATAGAAATCTTTACCACTTGCACGGGGACTCCGTTGTCCTTCATCACATAAACCGCACCTCCTAGCCCCGTCGAACCACCTTGTCCGCCCCACAGATTCTGGAGACATGCTGTCGCATATTCCCAAGATAGTAGAACAGCTTCCTGGATGAGGGGGGGACATCACGTCGGACCCGTAGCTGTAAGTCGGGA